TCACATTCACATATTAATGACGGTAAGGAAATTAACAACGCAAGAAACAATAATAAAATTGTCACCATTCATTTTTTTTTCTTAGAAAACATACGTACCGAAATATATTTGTAGTAAATGACTTTTTTTCAGAAATCTGATCGACTATATTAATCATCTGCATTGTTTTGTTTTTTTGTACGTTATTATATTTTTATTGACTATGGGATAGACTTGAAACTGGTTCAACAAATCAAAACTTGTAAGATAAGGCGTTGTAATAATTAGGGTTTAGATATCAAGCGATCTCAATCAAAACCCACCCAACCATTCTTGGCCACGAAATTAAGACTTGGAATCTTTTGTGTTTTACTCGTGGCTCGAAAAATATATGCCTTTTGTATCATTCCTAAATGCTATTTCCTATACTGTGCTCTTATCTAATATTTTACCATGTTTAACACTCTCCCTGCATCAGTTTTTAATAGAAAGCCTTTTTTTTTCTTTTTAAAAAATGAATATCAAAGTGTAACATGGGAGATTTGAACCTAGGTTAATGGTATTGTTGCAATATAATTAGGAAGACGTTTCAAATACCATACTTGAGTTACAAGACATGTAAGTTTTATGAAGTATGAGCTCAAATCATCAATCATGACAAAAGTTTCAATTACATCAATTTTATTCCATGCAGACTTATCTCAACATTCAAGATAAAAAAAAAAAAATACTCAGCATCTTCTACCACATTATCTTCTATCACATTACCGGCGACACATCAACATTTTCTTAAAAGAAACTTTATCAAAGCTTTGTATAAATACTTACTTTGTGTTTTTATGTAAAACCAATCTTTTATGGCTCTTTTGGTGTGATTTACTAGTCAACATTAGAAAAAAAAACTAGCTTAGGGAGAAGTTATACCGGAATAAACCAAAAACCGGTTGATAGTATAAGGTACGAAAATGTTGGGATGTCCCGCTTACGTGATACTTCCGGTTCTAGATGCATGTTAGATATGGTGGGTTCATACATCTAAAATCTTAGAAGATATTCGTAGATACGATCGGACGTTCATTGGTCGATTACGTATCAACACTCTAAAGTCTCCCACTTGACTAGACTTATAGTAAATTAACTTCCGAACGGATAAACTTCTCCGTATCAAAGCATCTCTATTCATGAAATTTTTGGTTAATTCTTTTTTGAAAAACACATTTATAAAAGCATGTTTGACTTTATGGTCTTTTTTTGTTTGCTGAACAATTGACTTTATGGTCGTGATAAGAAGTTTCAAAGAAATTAGTAAAACATAAGAATACAAGGTGTGGTCAAACAGTATCTTGTGTTTAATCATGTGATTACCGAAAAGATGCGGTGGTTTCGATCCGGGTCGATCGCTCCGAATGGAGAAAGCATGATATAAGATCGGAATCACACCAAACTTATGATCACACGGTTTCAAAGTCTACGGCTTGAATGGAACGAATTTCGCCACACAAAGTTGCGGAATGACTTTGTGATAAGAACACGAATCAATATCTATGTGAATCGCACACAAATACATAGATCCCACTTGTTTTCTAAAGGAATCTCACACAATAAAAAAGACAAGCAAAACAAAGTCTAAGTTTCAAAAATGAAAAACTCTCTCTTTTTATTTTCCAAAAATTCTATATGTATTTACAATAAATGGAGAATGAGCTTATATAGGCTCACATTACAAATCATCAAATAAATCAACATAAGTGCAAAATAAATCAAATTAATTACAAAAATCAATCAAAAATTAAATATAATGAAATAATGATCAATCAACATTAATGGAGATTGGTTCTTTGTATGTAGACACTTTCTTGATATATCAATTAATTGATTGTCTTCTAGAAACTCCTTTGAATTGTGGACTTGATTTGCATTGAACCATTTCTTGATGCGCCATGGATGTAAACAATATTTTTGAGACTACATCAAAGCAGATCAAGCAGAGCGGATCGAGCAGAAGAAAAGCGGATCAAGATGGAGAAGTGCAAATCTAGCAAATAATGTAGTTCATAATGGGTCTGAATGGAGAAAGCGTATTAAGCGGTGCA